AAAAACCAGCAGATGTAATGGCAGGGACTGGCATGGAGCATGGCTCCTGGTGCTGCCACCAAGAGACGAGGAAGTGGGGGGAGTGCAAAAGGTTCCATCTTGCCCTCCCTGTGGGAAGACAGGAGCGAAGTTGCAACAACTCACTAAGGCCTTGCCCATCCAAGAAGAGCAGCCCCCACTCCACCTTGCCTTCTTGGGATGGGGGGGAACACATCCGTCCTGGCCCTCACAAGTTCTTCCAACGTCCCCTGCGTTTCCGAGTTGGGATCCCTTTCCTCCGCTTCGATGCCGGAGGAGCCCGGTTTGGAGACTGCTCCCTTTCAGCCCCAAGGTCCCGTTCTGCTTGCAGAAGATGAACCCCGTTCTCTTCCTGCACCGGGGACAGCTCCACCTTGGTAGGGAAGCCCTCCTGGGCAGGTGGAGTCTCTGTGGAAGGGGCTGCTGTTGGAAGAGCGAATTCCCCCTGCGGGGGCAGCAGACCATTCGGCAGGGCCGGAAGGAGGGGCAGCAGCGCTGCCACCACATCCGTGAGCCGTTCCAGGCCTTGCCGCAGGGTGTAGGTCAGCTCCCGGATGGCTTCGGCCGTTTCCCTCTGGGCCTGCAGGAAATCCAGAGGGGGCTCGACAGGCAGGTCCAGGCGGGTGCGTCGGCGCCGCAGCGGGGGCGAAGTCGAAGGGCATGGGGTGCTGCCCAACAGCTCTCCAGGGGAGTGTTCAGGATGTGGCCGGCAGCCTAAGCAGGAGGGAGATGGAGCCAGCTGGACAATCTGCAGCGATGAGGGCTGGGCTGGAGGGGGCGCTGGTGAGTCGCGTTCCTTGGGCTTCCGCAAGCCCCTATCCAGACTGTAGCACGAAGGACGGGCAGAGGTCTCTGGGCTGCTGGAGACGTTGACCCTGGCAGGCATATCTGTAGGGGCCAAGGAAGGAGAGTCACCACCTTGCTGGCACCTCCTACCAAACTGCTGCTCCCGACGCCACAACCAATACCAAGGGGGTCATCCCTGACCTCCTGAGCCAAAGCAACTGGCCAGAAATGGCACGTGTGACAGACAGCTTCTCTAGGTGGATACGGCTGGAATTCAGCGCATGGGCCAGAATAGCCTTGCTGGGGGAACTCCACTTGCCTGGAGGGCAAAAACGATGTTCACCTCACGCCACGTTTTCCTGGCCGTGTTTCTGTTGGTTTGGTTTGGTTTGGTTTGGTTTCTGACACGAGACAAAGTTCAAACATGCAACAACCCTCCTCCTTGCTCTACTAGGGGTCTCTGTAGTGGGGTGGGGTGTCAAAAGATGGCATCTGTGCCCATGTGATAGAAGCCCCATCCCTTTTTACATGTGACACATGTGCAAAGGGTGTGGGACTTTAATTGCCTGGGCACAGCTATATCTTGACTTTTTTGACATCCCCCTGTGTGGACTCCTGTGCAACCCAGTGTGGTTTATTCTATCCCAGTTAAGCAAACCAGGGCTTAGCGTGACATGCAAGACCAGCCAGGGTGCAAAAGTGTCATTGCCAGGCCTCTCTTCCCTGACTTGGCTTCTCTTTGTTCCTCTGAGTTGTTTGTGCGTGTTCTGTGTGCACATCCTAGAAAAAGGAATATGGGAGCTGGGGTGAAGCATGGATGGGCCCGGAGCAATGGCTGCCGGCCGGAAGGGTGGTAAGTCCAGCCGCACCTTTTGGGCTAGACTCTGTGGCAGGGGGAAATTTTTTCAAAAATGCTGGGGCTTTCGCTTCTTTCTTGAAGAGCTGAGGGGGGGCTTTTGGGGGGGGCTTGTTTTATATCTGCCCATGAGCTAGTCCTGAGGCATCTGGGAAGCCAGCTCAATCCACAAAGCTCCCATTTGGTCTCTCTCTGTAATAATAATAGTAAGAGTAAGAGTAAGAATAATGTTGTTGTTGATAAGAAAGACAAAAAAGTCTGGATAGTGGATACTGCAATACCTGCAGATAGCAGAAGAGAAGAGAAAGAACTGGAGAAAATCACAAAATATAAAGCTCTGCAAATAGAAATAGAACAACTGTGGCAAAAAAAAGCAAAGATAGTCCAGATAGTAATAGGCACCTTGGGTGCGATCCCAAAACATCTGGAGCACCCCTTGAAGGCCATCGGCACTGACAAAATCACCACCAGCCCACTGCAAAAGGCAGCTTGGCTTGGAACGGCTTCCATCCTGCGATGATACCTCGAACACCATCAAACAACAACGTCTGCCTATCCATGTCCTTGGGAAGGCCTCGATAGGGGGATAAAAATGCCAAATCCAGTCTAAACTTCTGGCTGACTGTGTGACTAATAATAATAATTACTATTAATAATTAATTAATTAATTAATAATAAACTATTAATTAATATAGTGGGATAGATACCCTGCTTGGAACTTGCCTATATCCTCAGATGCTACCTTAATCATTCTTAGGTCCTTGGTTAGGACTTGAATTATTAAGTTTTCACCAGTCTTTGACTGTAAATCTGATTGTAAATTACTACTACTACTACTACTACTAAATTACATTTATCTGCTGCCCAACTCCCAGTGACTATGGGCAGTTCTTTTATTCTCCCCCTGCCCCTTGCAGATCCAAGGAGAGAATGCTTCCAAAGTCAAAAAGTGAAAAGAATGTGTCACTTGCACACCCATCGTTTCAGCTGTTGGAGGACTGAAAAATCACCTAATTCAAGAAATTTCGAACATTGTGGGGACATTCTTCAAACGCGCACTGGGTCCTTTTCTTCTCCGTTCCGCATGGTTAGGGAGCCGATATTACACAGCCTGCAATTTATCTGCCTAGAGAAGTGCATGTGGGGTGGGATAAAAATAGCACTTTTTCAGGACTCAGTCCTCCAATCCTGCAGGGTTCCAGGACTCTTCTTGGAGAAATCAATATCTCTGATCATGTGTAGAGTGCTTTTTCTTTGTCAGAGTGCTGCATTCGGAATCGGAGCGAGGCCCCAAGACAGAGCAGGACTGCCAAGATAATGCATTACCCCAGTGTCTCTTTAAAAGAGAATAAATTAACCCCTGGACTAATCAGTGTGCTGGTTGCTTGGTTGTCTGTATAAATGATGTGGGAGTTTAGTAACCCAGCGCTTAAAAAAAACAAGAGGGTTTAAAAATGAGGTGGCAAAGTTTGTAAAATCTATATTGACTTAGCTACCTGATGGCTCTGGACCACACAGAATTTTTTCTTCTACTGCAGTAGATTTTCCTTGCCAAAAGTGAATATTTCATTTCCGTCCCACTTGCAACAATAGCGAAATGGACCCAT